TCATCATCATCATTTTTATTATGATTGTTTTTATCATCATCATCATTTTTATTATTATGATTATTATGATCATTATTATTATTATCATTATCACTTCAACATAAACAAAAACAACATCAAAATGATCACAGCCTTTTTAACATCTTAACAGTTTGTGCACGTGAACGTGTTTGTATGTGTGTGACTTTGTATGTGTTTGTATGTGTGTATGTGTGTGTGTGTGTGTGTGTGTGTGTGTGTGTGCGTGCGTACATATATAAATAAATGTGTATAATTTTAAAACGTATAAATGAAACAAAGCGAGAAAAACTAAGTAAACCGCAAGCATTTGCTGAATGAATGAATGGATGGATGAATGAATGAATGAATGAATAAATGAATGGATGAGTGAATGAATGAATAAATGAATGGATGGATGAATGAATGAATGAATGAACGACTGAATGGAACACAATTCAATGAATGAATGAATGAACGATTGGTGGATGATCAAACAAATAATGATGTCAGAAGAGGAGGTATAAACATTCTAACACGAACGCACGCACACACACACACACAGACATACAAACACACACACACACCACACAGGCATACAAACACACACACATACATACATACACAAACAAACATGTATACTTGATTCTAATCACATTATCGCTACCATGTTACCATCAAAAGATTCAACAGTCAACACTACGATTTCATTGTTAACAAATATTTGTTCTCAACAAAGTCAGTCTCAGTCTCTCTCTCTCTCTTTATCTCTATCCATCTCCCTATCTCTTTCTTTTCTTATCTCATATCTCTCTCTCTCTCTCTCTCTTTCTTTCTCTCTCTTGTACTCGCTCCTTCAATTTCTTTCAGTTCTATTCTTCGTAAATATTTTTCGTGTGATATAACATACATCTTCCCAATTTTTGTCATTCTCACTCTCTCTCTCTTTCTCTCTCTCTCTCACTCTATTTCCACATCTCTCCTCTTTTCTTCTCTCTTTCTTTCTCGTAGTTCTTCCCACTCACCAGTGATCAGTCAATCCCAAACGTCTCAATGAATTCAGTTCGTGGGGCTTTTTTTTACTGCTACTACTACTACTACTACTAAAACAACAACTACTACTACTTTTACTATTACTACTACTACTGCAACTACTACTACTACTACTTTTACTACTGCTGCTACTAATACTACAACTAATACTACAACTACAATTACCACTACAACAACTACTAATACAATCTACTACGAAAACCACTACTACTACAACTTTTACTACAACTACTACTACTTCTACTACAAATAATAGCAATAACAACAACAATAATAATAATAACAATTTCACACTAGCGTAATGTTAGTTAGCGCCATGTCAATTCTATACTGGCATTGTCATCTTGAGGGTAATAACAATTATTATTATTATTGGTGTTGTTATTATTATTATTATTATTGGCGGCGGTAGTCGTTATAGTCGTAGAAGTAGCTTCATAGTAGCAGTAGTAATAGTAGTAGTCGCGGTAGATTTCATTTAATTAAATCAATATAGTTACACAATGAAATATAATGTATTAGTTACTCATTCAAACGTTCATTCATTCATCCATTCATTCATCCGTTCATTCATCCATTCATTCATCCATCTATTCATTCGTTCAATCCTCCATTCATTCATCCATTCATTCATTCATCCATTCATTCATCCGTTTCATCATTTGTTCTTTCGTACAATTATTCCCCCATATATCCATCGATTTATTCGTCCTTTCATTCATATGACCAATTCCTCATTCATTCCATCCATCCATCCACTTATTCAATCATTCATTTATTCATTCACTCATTCTTTCATTCACTAACCAATTAATTGATTCATTCATTCACTCATTCATTCATTCCCCAACACACACACACACACACGCACGCACACACACACACACACACATGTACATATACATACATACAAATATATACAAAACATTGATACAGATAGATCATCTAGAATACAAATTCGATATAGTCCATTTGCACTTTAATCTTTACTGCATTAGCCATGTTTTGCTGAAAACATCAGAACTGAAATAATAGTAATTGTAGTAGTAGCAGTAGTAGTAGCAGCAGCAGCAGTAGCCTTAGAAGTGGAGTAGTAGTAGTAGTAGAGTAGTGGTAGTAGTAGTAGTAGTAGTAGTAGTAGTAGTAGTAGTAGTAGTAGAGTAATAAAAGTAGAGTAGTAGTAGCAGTACTATAAAATTATAGTGGTAGTAGAAGTAGTAGCAGCAATACTAGTCAATGTGATAGTGGTGATAGTAGTATATCTAAGTATGTGTGCTTGTGTGTGAGTGTATATGTGTGTGTACGTGTGTGTGTGTGTGTGTGTGTGTGTGTGTTGTGTGTGTGTGCAAACGTTACTATAACATAATAAAACTAAGTCAATCATATTCCATCATCTGTTATGTTATATTAAACAGAGGTGAGATGTTTAGCTAGATTGTTATATAACAAGAGATTGCTAGCAAGTGCCGGCAGAGTTTCTCGTTCTTCGCCAGGTATTACATAGCTAAAACGGAAATAAATTAATGATATAAAATAATAATTAAAAATAAAAATTTTAAATAATAATTATCACCATAATAAAAACGATAATATGTATGTGAGTAAGAAAGTAAGTATGCTATTGCATATGTATGTATGTTATGTATGTGTGTGTGTATGTTTGTATGTATGTATGTATGTATGTATGTATGTATGTATGTTGTATGTATGTATGACAGGAAGAAGGGGGTGTAATATTTGTCAGTACATTTATGAGAGGCGGAAAGAGCATTTTCGTGAAACATACTCACACTCTCTTTTTTTCTCTCTCTTTCTACACACACACACATACATACACACTCACAAACACACACACATATATACATACATACATACATACATACATGTATATATAAAGAGAGAGAGAAAAAAAAGGGAGGGCTTAAGTTTATCTATACAAATGCCAGAACATTCCACAAGTGTATGATGCATGTGGAATGTATGTACCAATGTGTTTGTTTGATGCGTGTATGTATGCTTGTAATTAAGTGTGTGTGTGTGTGTTTGTATGTATGCTTGTAATTAAGTGTGTGTGTGTGTTTGTATGTATGCTTGTAATTAAGTGTGTGTGTGTGTGTTTTTCACAATTGTTTAAAATTGATTTTGTTGTTCTACACACACACACAAACACGCCCACATATAATTTGCTAAAAATCTTCTTCTTGGAGAGAAAGAAAGGGAGAGAGAGAGAAAGAGAGAGAGAGAAAGAGAGAGAGAAGGAGAAAGAGAGAGAGAGAAGAAAACTTTGAAAGAGAAAACACACATATATGAAAAATATGACAAATTATAAATGGAAAACACATGTGTGTGTGTGTACATATTTAAGCTAGCTATTAAAAGCAGCTATTATAGGTGTGTGTGTGCGTGCGTGTGTGTGTATGTAATACATCATAACACATAGTGGTATTGGTACCAAAAAATAAAAACAATGAATTTTTTATGGGAAATACCTAAAAATGTTTAGATTGGGATGAACTTCTTGTGGAATGATGTCATTCCTGAATGAATATTCATCTGCTGATGGATCTTTGCTTGCATTCATTTTTTTTCCTCTTTTCTCACTCTGTCTAATAATCAATTTTTCAAAAAAAAACACTGAATTAAAAGTTAAAACTGACAAGAAATTTTTATTGTTGATTTGTTGTTAAAAATTAATTAACAGTTTTTAAACTTTGGTCTTTCTTTATCTTTAATCGTTAACATTGTCAAATAATACAAAATAAATGATCTAATTAATGAAAGAACATTTAAAATATGATTTCAATTACCTAGGAACTTAAATTTTTACATTAGTTTACTTTTTTACCAACCAACATGCCCTAATAAATTTTAAACTTTTTTTTTCAAAGTTTTATTTCCAAGCAGCTAAATTGACACGTGAATTGAAGTATAATAACGGCAAATGTGATATTTTTGTCATTTAATTATGGAAATTAAAATAATAACTTTGATTAATTTTTGGTTTAATTTGTTTAGAAAATGAAAGGAATGATTTTTAAATGCCATTTAAAGAGCCAGAATGTAAACAACTTAGTAAGGGCATTTAAATAGAGCGCTGATTATTAGAATTACAAATTAGGTCGTTTTTTGATAAGTAAAAGTGAACTTTAATACTAATTACACAAAAAATGGCTAAATTGGGGTTTATTTTCCCAAATTTGATACATATATGACATTTCTAATTGAAATTAGTTTTATTTAACGCAATGTTAAAAATAAAATATGGCTTAGACTATTTCTTTTAAACGTTGTTAAATGTATGTATGCAAATTAACTTGTTCAATCTACATTTCATTCGCTCATTCACTTTCTTTCACTTATTCCTTCGTCCATTCATTCGTTCATTCAGTCATTCATTCAAGTTAATACAATTCACTCGGATAAATTCATTCATTCATTAAGTCAATCGATTGAATCAACAGAGACAAGACTAAGATAAAATAACACAATACATTTGTATTCTGACAAATCAGTTTATAACAAATATGAAAATAAAATTATGGAAATTAAAAGAAAATATTTTCATAATGCTAATATATGAAGTTAGGTCATTTGCTTTCATTGTAATCTTTGATAGCAAAGATTTGATTTTTTTCAACAAAAAATTACAATGAAAGCAAATGACCTAACTTCTTATATTACAATGATTCCGTCATTTCCTCCATTAATTAATTAATTAATTAATTAATTCATTCATTCATTCATTCACTCATTCATCCATCCATTTGTTTTACTTTTCACTCAATCACTTACATTTTACTGACTTGTAGTATAAAAATACTTTTAATTTAGTACGAGTTATACACTGCAATCATAATTCACATAATTCAATCGATCAATCAATCAATCGATCAACCAACCAATCAATCAATCAACCAACAAAACAATCAATCAATCAATCAATCGATCGATCATTTCAGATACGGATTGATGATGTTCTCGACAAACCACTTCCTGGTGAACATTATGTGATCGCCATCCAGAGACAGGAAGTGGAGTCTTTTGGACTCATCCAACACCTTCAATCCCAACTTATCCTAAATAATAATATTAATAATAAAATAATAACAAATATGAATATAATTATAATAATAATTATGAATATGATTATAATGATATTCAGTGGTGTAATGTTTGTTGATAAATTTTTAATCAATCAACCTACCAATCAATAAAAGAACCAATCAATAAAACAACAAACCAGTCAATGAACCAATCAACCAACCAACCAACCGACCAATCAACCAACCGACCAACCAACCAACCAACCAACCAATCAACCAACCAACCAACCTTAATGTAGATGTCTGAATCTTTCAAGTCAATCACCTCCTTCTCCTGCCCTTCTCTGTAGTACCCAAACCACTGATTGGTTAGTTCGTTGATTGAATGATTGGTTGATTGATTGGTTGGTTAATTGATTGGTTGATGGATAAGTTGGTTGGTTGGTTGTATTCATTTGTATTTCATTATCGGAGTATGTATGTATGTATGTGTGTACGTACGTATGTATCATCATCAACATCATAATCATTACCATCACAATCACCATCACCATCACTATCATCACCACCACCACCGCGACAATCATCATCATCACAATCATCATCACCACCACCACACCACCACAACAATCATCATCACCATCATCATCACGACCAACTTCCGACTCGTTGGGCACTACTACGGTCTCGTTGTTGAACTTCACCAGGACGAAATTCTTCAACTTAATCAAGTTCTCTCTGTACGTTGTATTCACTGACTGAATAACAACAATAATAATGATAACAACAACAATAATAATAATGATAATAATAATAATAATGATAATAATAGCAATGATAATGATCTTAAATTTTTAGTGCATTTTTTCCAGAGCATTAGAATGGCGCGAGATTTAAAAGTCTGAGAGATTCGCACGTGAAAGTTTAGTTGGGCATGAACTTTCGACCTGACCCCGACCCTGACCTCCATCTGACTGACTGCACACTGCAGCCCTCAAATGTTTATCTAGTTATTTCCAGGCTGTACATGATGATGACGTCAGTGTTGCATTGACAAATTAAATGATGATGAAGAAAATGATGATGAAGATGATGATGAAGATGATGTTAGCGATGGTCTTGCATTCGAATCCAGTCATGGCTGAAAACAGGTCAGGCGTCTTAACCATTACACTACAGAGCCGCCATCATTTTAACCACCATCATCATCTTCATCATCATCCTCTCACTCACTCACTCGCTCACTCACTCACTCTCTCTTGGTTGATGTCAGCAAGGAAGACACTTTTCCTCCTATAGACATCTTCCTGAAGAGGATCATGCCAGTACTCCGCTTGTACTATGCTAATGATGAAAATGACATTAACATAAGTGATAGCCTAATTAGTAAGGCGTCTGCCACTTAAACTGCAGCGACCGAGTTCGAACGCATAGTCAAACGCATAGTCAAACAGCCAGTCAAGCGCAACGTACAGTAAAACTTCGTCAGTACGTACTCGTTTACAGCGTACCCTCGGATTATAAAGTTTGAAATTTCATGACTTTGTTCAAGGATTTGATGTAAGCAATTATAACAAAGAGAACGAAAAGTAACTGAAGGGCACTAACTGGTTCTGTATGTGGCTGCAATTAGTGAATGTTACAATGGAGCAGATCACTAAATAAATACTTCTCAATTAGCAAGTTCTCAGAAAAACACACACACAAACGCACAAACACACACACACAAACACACACACACAAACATCCATTAACACAAACGTAGGAAATCCCACTTTCAATTTCAGATCACATTCATTAATTTTTATCAATCCGTCCGTCATTTGCCTCCATTCATTCATTCATTCATTCATTCATTCATTCATTCATTCATTCATTCATTCATTCCTATGTACAAACAGACAAACACACACACACACACTACACACAGGCAAACGTATGAACACACACGTACGAACACACATGCACACACACACACACGCACACACGTACTCTTCATAAGCGCCTTTGGTCAGTAGTTCTCTGACATACTCACATATATGAAGGCCTACTGGACATTTTGGTAAGCCAAAGACACCTAATATTATCAGATCATCGTCGTCGTCATCATCATCTTTTATATTATCGTTATTACCCTTTTAACATTATTAGCACCATCATCATCAAATTTTAAGAATGCACGAATGAATGAGTGAATGAAAGGATGAATGCATGAATGAATAAGAAAATGAATGAATGTAATAAAATTTTCTTATCAGATCATTATCAATACCATCAACATCATCATTAGTATCACGACTATCATCATCATCATTGTTATGATGATAGTCGTGATGATAGTCATGATGCTGATAGCCTATGTTATCATCATCATCATCATTACCAACAGTATCATCATCATATTCATCATCAACAACAACAACTACTATCATCATCATCATCACCATCACGCAAATCTGACCTTGGTGTTGACCTCCAATTGAGATGAGGTTTTGAACTTTCAGCCCCGAACATCTCTGCACTAAGCCACGGCTTTTATTAAATATTATTATTGTTTTTATTGTCATTCACACATTCATTCATTCACACTTTCATTCAAACAATCATCCATTCATTCATTCATTCAAACAATCATTCACTAATCATTCATTCACAAATTCATTCATTCATCCACACATTCATTCAAACAATCATTCACTAACAGGAACTGGCCCCCTTGAGAAAAACCCACTGCATTAAATCCCATCTCGAGATTGGGATCATTAGAGAACTGCTTGCAAACCATGTCTATTTGCTTGTTAAGGTTCATTAAGAAGCTATTCTCTACATCCTATACAAATGTGTGTTTGTGAGTGTGATTTGTGTGTGTTTGTGTGTGTGTGTTCGTTTGTGAGTGTGATTTGTTTGTGTTTGTGAGTGTGATTTGTATGTGTTTGTGTGTGTGATGTGTGTGTGTGTGTATCAATAACGATGAAAATATTATTCACTCAACCTCAACCACACTGTCACCAATTCTGACGGAGAGCACGTAAACACCGGGGATATTTTCCTCGATTAGGGACTTAATGACCCCCATACTTAGTGGGTTACAGCAACTATCACCTTTGAAAATAAATGGCAAAATTAAAAAAGTTACATACACTATTATTAAAATTAATTTACAAAGAATTTAATCTTAACTACCGATGGCTAATCCTCTTCTTAATACATTATATAATCTAATAAATTGAAATAATCACAGCAGGTCATGGAAGTTGTATTTTAATTTTATTTATTATGGAGAGGAAGAAGAACTATACACAGAGATTACCATTACAGCAGTATGTATAAGTATTTTGAGTATAATAAACTATAGTATAGTTCAAAAAGATCAAAGGTTAAAAGATTGAAAAAGGTTATACTATATGATGGGTACTCTACTAACTATACACAACAGTCAGTTAAGTTGCCTCATAAGAACAAGGTCAATTTATTACAGATATATTTATTTACTTATAAATTTGTAACAAACACAAATATGGAAAGCCAAGAATGAAAAACCAACCCATTCCGTGCCAGAGAACTACCGGAACTGGAGCTTCTTGGGAACTGATCAAACGGGGAGTTACTACTAACGCCAACAGTAGGACGACACTAATTATTAAACCCGACGGACGCATTTTGATTTTGGTTTGCAAAGATCAAAAATTAATAAAAATGGAAATTATTTAAAATATATTTTCTATATATATAAATTTATTTGAAAATTAGAACATTTTATTTGTTAAACCAATTAACCAAAAACGAAATCGAAGTTCCGAAAAGTTAAATGAGTAACAAATTGTGTGTTTAAAAGTTAAAAGAGTAACAAATTACTATTTGCTCTGGCGCTGAATCGTTACCATGTTGGGAAACTGAATAGAGTATATAAACTATTTAGTAAAATTATTTATCTATCGTAACATACAAATACGAATATCACCGTTTTAAGTTATATGTTATATACATACACGAATGTTCTTCATATCAGAGCTAGACATTTGTTTGTTTCATTGAAAGGATTTTAATGCTATTCACTAAGCACCACCACAGTTCAAATATTTCTTTGCTTAATACGTCACGTTGATAGCAGCAATTCTCTTTTGAAACATCATTTTTATAAACCAGCTGAATAAACAAACCAAATATCATCAAACTGAATCAACAGTTTTATATTTCTCTTTTAATTTTTCTTTTATATCTGTAATATAACAAAACTAATCAATCGAACCGATAAACAACATTTAAGAAATGCCCAAAAAGAAATTGACAGCTGTTGGCATCGATCTTGGAACCACGTATTCTTGTGTTGGAATTTTTCAGAATGGGAAAGTGGAAATAATTGCGAACGATCAAGGAAACAGAACCACACCAAGCTACGTCGCTTTCACAGACGATGAAAGATTGATAGGTGATCCGGCTAAAAATCAGGTTGCGATAAATCCAGGAAACACAGTTTTTGACGCAAAAAGGCTCATTGGTAGAAAGTACGATGATCCTTCCGTTCAGTCAGATATCAAATTGTGGCCGTTTAAAGTGATTAACGACAAGGGAAAGCCGAAAATTCTAGTGGAGTATAAAGGAGAGAAAAAATCTTTTTTCCCGGAAGAAATTTCGTCAATGGTTTTGATAAAAATGAAGGAGGTTGCTGAATCATTCATTGGAAAGGTTGTAACTTCATTTTTATTACAATTCTTGTAGATGGCTATGTTAAAATGCCGAAAATTGTTGCACAAGTTGAAACTATAGAATATATATTGCATGATGATATTTTATCATTCACACATTTGATTACTCATATTCAGCAAGTGAACGATGCAGTGATAACGGTGCCAGCGTACTTCAACGATTCGCAGCGACAAGCGACAAAAGACGCCGGCACGATAGCTGGATTGAACGTCCTTCGAATTATAAACGAACCAACTGCCGCTGCAATAGCTTACGGGTTGGATAAGAAATCGGACAGAGAGAAAAATGTTCTGATCTTTGATCTGGGAGGTGGAACTTTCGACGTTTCCATCTTGACTTTAGTTGAGGGCATATTTGAGGTAAAATCTACTTCGGGAGATACCCATCTAGGCGGAGAAGACTTTGACAGCAGATTGGTTAATCACTTTATACAAGAATTCAAACGAAAGAGCAAAAAAGACATAAGTAATAATAAAAGAGCAATAAGGCGACTGAGGACCGCTTGCGAGAAAGCGAAAAGAACGCTTTCCAGCTCAACCCAAGCCAGCATTGAAATTGATTCTCTTTACGATGGCGTCGATTTTTACACTAACATTTCAAGAGCTAGGTTCGAAGAATTGAATGCAGATCTTTTCAAAAAAACTCTCGAACCTGTGGAAAAAGCTCTGAACGACGCGAAAATGAGGAAATCAGACATCGAAGAAGTTGTTTTAGTTGGCGGCTCCACAAGAATTCCTAAAATTCAAAAAATGCTGAGTGAATTTTTTAATGGGAAGGAACTGAATAAATCCATCAACCCGGATGAAGCTGTCGCATATGGAGCAGGTTAGTGTTGAAAACAATTTTTATAATTGCACGGCATACGATAAGTTACCATTGTCAACACAAGTTAACAATCTAAAAATAAACATGAACAGCTGTCCAGGCGGCAATTCTGGCTGGGGACACGTCTGAGGGTGTTCAAGATCTTCTCCTCATCGATGTGACCCCCCTATCTCTGGGCATCGAAACAGCTGGTGGGGTGATGACGTCACTAGTGAAGAGAAACACCACCATCCCTACCAAACAAACCCAAATATTCACCACCTACTCCAACAACCAAACAAGCGTCTTAATCCAAGTCTTCGAAGGTGAACGAACCATGACACGCGACAACAACCTGCTCGGAAAATTTGAACTTTCTGGAATCCCTCCAGCCCCGCGCGGAATTCCCCAGATAGAAGTCACTTTCGATATCGACTCCAACGGTATAATGCACGTGTCGGCCATAGACAAGAGTACAGGCAAGCAAAACAACATCACCATCACAAACGATAAAGGAAGGTTAACAAAGGAACAAATAGAGAAGATGGTACGCGATGCAGAGAAGTACAAGGATGAAGATGATCTGCAGCAAGAGAGGATTGCCGCTAAAAATACTCTCGAAAGTTACGCTTTCCAGATGAAAGCCAGTCTGGAAGATGAGAGGGTGAGTAATAAGTTGTCCGATTCTGATAAAAAGAAGATTGACCGGAAGTGCTCTGAAGTGCTGAGGTGGCTCGAATCCAATCAGGTAGATCTTGTTTAGAATTTTAGAATCTAATAAAAAATAGCACTAACAAGGATGTATTGAAAACTATTTTTCGGCGCAATTTTTTATTAAAAAGATTAGCAAGGATACGCTAGAGCTCGATGTAAAACATTTTTATACATTCGAACGAAAACGAGAGAGTTGATTTGTCGTAATGATTAAATAAACCAAAAACAGATTAACACAATGACACACAAATACCGCTTAAAACACACGCACACACACACACACACACACACACTATACGCACAGTCTGCCAAGAAGGAGGAATTCGAGAGCATGCAATCTGAACTTGAGACCATATGCAGACCCATTATGACCAAATTGCACAAGGGAGAAGGCGGTCCGAAAATTGAAGAAGTTGATTGATAGAGAGAAACATATTTCACATTTTAAAAATTTGATTGATAGATATATAGAGATGAAATAGATACACACACACACACACAACACACACACACACACACATATATATATATATATATATATATCATATATATCTAGAGTAGATACATAGATATATTATACAGAGATGCCAGCCTATTATTAACAGATGCACTTTGAAATTCAATGCTAACAATTTTTAAACATTTGAACATCCGAATTACAAATTAATCTGATGCTACGAATGAGATACACAGATATAAATATAAATAAATAAGTATATATATATACATATATATATATATATATAGAAATATCCCAAATTGATATGAACAATATCTTGGTAACATCATATTATCATGATATCATTAAATTACCATGATTGCATCTTGAAAAACAATCCAAAATAGCCAAAACTGGAGTAAATGATTTGCTTTAGATATAAATTAATTCCCAGCTGCAAAACCATGCGTAACACACAATCAACATATGTAACAGGTTTATTTCATTAATTGGAAAAAAAATCGACAGATATAATTATATTATATAATTATTTATATATGCGTGTTTTTGTGTAATTATTACTACTAATTAACAATAATTAACAATAATTAAAAGTAGTTTATAACAATTTATTAAAATTATATGATTCGAACGAAATGTCAGATCAATATATATATATATAATAAATGTCTTATCTAAAGTCTATATGTACATTTGGTATATATATATATATAAACTTATGATTATATATATATATATATGTATATATATATATATATATATATATATATTATATGTATGTGTGTGTATATGAGCGCGAAAATGTTCACATTATATTTGGCATACATACATATATACATAAAAGCCATGTATGATCAGTTACCATCAGCAGCAAATCTTGCTAGATGGAAGGTAGCAGGAGAAGCTAAGTGTAGCTGATGTGGAGAAATGGAAACGGTGGCCCACGTAATGGCTTCTTGCTGGTACGCACTCAGTCATGGACAATGCACGTGGAGGTACAACAAAGTATTGAAAGTAGTGGTGCAACTCATCTCCAATGTTTGTGACGAGGCAAATTCAAGACGACCGTGCAAACTAAGAAAAATCTATTTCCTAAGAGAGGGTGAGTTGGAGCAAACACCGAGAAATGAAGTTCGCAACAGAAAAAGTATTTTTGATAACGGCAGAGATTGGAAGGTCATGGCAGATTTGGAGGGCATGGGGATCTACCTATCGTTCATAAAGGATACAGACACTGTTTATTTTAGTCGAACTGACTGTACCGTATGAGGCTAATATAGCAGCAAGCCACGCTACAAAAACAGCCAAGTATGAAGAGCTTGTTAGTGAGATAGGACAACGTGGGTTGAGGTGCTTGTTGTACGCAGTTGAGGTCGTGCAAGAGGTCTTGCTGGTTAATCAGTGTACAGCTTTTTGAAGGATTTAGGTTTGGCAGGTAGAAGACAATCGAGTTGTTTTTAAAGAACATAGGACATACATCCGAACAAGGACAAGAGCAAAGGCGAACAAGCGTCTTACTGGTTATGTAGAAAGAAAAAAGAATGCGAGTTTAAATAGTTAACAGACAAACTCGTGTGCTCGTAACGTAAAGATTCCAATCACTCAGCACTCCCAGATTCGGCCTAACGTGTTACTTGGCTCGTCGATATAACTTGTGTGAAATTTCTGGCACGCCTGCGTAGCTTCTCAGTATAAAAGAAGGTGATTTCAAAGCGAGGCAAGTTGTTCAGCAAGAGACATCCAACTGATCTCTGGATGTGGCCTTGTTAGTCGAGAGTGTCAGGAAGTTAAAGGGCCGAAACACTCGTCGACGGAAACTTTTCTTCTGAAGACTTTCACTGAACGCTCGTTATGTTCGAGTTTATACATACATACATACATACATACATACATACAAATAAACAAACATGCATACAAACACACGTAGGTACCATGATAATGATCATAAGAATATTAATCACCACGGCGAATACCTAATGATGATGCTAGCTAACAATTATCACTATCGTCATCATTTTCATTCATTCATTCATTCATCGTTATCAAAACTGCAGTAAAAATTATGATAGTTATTTTTTAAACTCAAAACATTTTTTAAACAAAAACAAAAAAAAAAGCCAAAAAATCAATCTTTACAAATAAATATTATTTAAAGATAAATACATACATATATATATATATATATATAACTATATATATAACTATATATATATATATATATATATATATATATATATATATATATATAAAATGTGTGCGTGCGTGCGTGTGTAAAGAGAGAGTGATGGAAGGGAACCAAATTTTGATGATCGAACAGAAATAATAATAATTAATGACAATATTGTTATGAGCACTGGAGTTATATTTGCTTCTACTGCTGCCGCTACTGCTGCTGCTGCTACTACTACTACTACTAATATAGGCGAAAAAATATTGAAAAAGAAAAAAAAATGAGATACAAATTTTGAATCAAGTGAAAACAATAATGCACGTTTTTTTATATGTGGTCATCATCATCATCACCACCATCACTACCATCATCATCATCATCACTACCATCATCATCATCATCACCACTATCAGTATCGTCATCATCATCATCGTAGTTGTCTTTACCGCATCATTACCAACAAGACATTTTTTAGCGAAGAAATGAATGAGTGCATGAATGAGTGAGTGAGTGAATAAAGGAACGAAAGAACAAATGAATGATCGAAAAAATGAACACATGAACGAACGAATGAACGAAAAAATGAACAAACGAACGAACGAACGAACGAATGAACGAAAGTTTAAGGATACAAGATTTTTTACCTCCAATCATTAATTTTAATTATTGCCGGTTATATATTGAACACGTAACCATAAATAATAATAATAATAATAATAATAATAATAATAATAATGATAATAATAATAATAATAATAAAAATAGCAGCAACAATAGAAAACAATTATTGTAATTATTATTATTATAATATTTTAATAACCGATCTCAAAATAAATGAAGAACGAGAAGCAGCAAAAACATAATCAATAACAACAACAACAATAATAAAAATAATAACAATAACAAAAAATAATAACAATATTAGTAATAAATAAGAACACTGGCCAAAACATCACAGAGTGGTAAGAAGGGCTCTAACTATTTTTAGTAACAGCAGCTGTAGTAGCGGCTGTAGTAGCTACAGCAGCGACACCACAGCCACCACTACTACTACTACTGCTATTATTACTAACATTACTAACCCCGCCGGCGCTTACGTCATCATCATCACAACCGACACTCTCTTTCCTTCTGATCCCAAATAATTCCGTAGAATCCTGATCTAGAACAGCTGGTGAAGCTACTGCAGCAGCTGCAACAGCAGCATCATTAGCCGGTGTATCCTTACTTAGGATATTTTTAACTTTGAGGATACCTGCCTGTATCTTACTGAGTATCCGGGATTCCATGTGATATCCGGTTGGGAATGATCTAGTTGGTGAAATTTCAATTATGGTTACTAGACACTTGGAACACACACATACACACACACGCCGGCACACACACACGCAAACATACACAGACACACACGCAAGTAGACAAAGATAGAAGAAATAGAAACATAGAGAGAAAAAGAAAGAAAGAGAAAAAGATATAGAGAAAGAAAGAGAAAGAGAGAGAGAGAGAGAGAGAGAGAGAAAGAAAGAGAGAGAGAGAGTGCGATAAATACACATACATAGACACTAACCTAGCGTCGTCAAAACTTCTCTCAGCTTCTTTAAACTTCATCATCTGCATGAATAACAACCCGCGTTCGTACATGCAGCTGGGAACGAGGTATGTATCACGTTGTACGTTCTTCTTGCTAACATGATTGATTGATTGATTGATTGATTGATTGATTGATTGACTGATTGATTGATTGAGTAATTGGTTGGTTAATTATTTGGCTGTTGGTTAGTTTATTGATTGATTGAATGAATGAATGAATAAATGAATGAATGAGTGAATGAATGAATGAATGAATGAATGAATGAATGAATGAATGGTTGATTGATTAATCGATCGATCGATCGATTGATTAATACCACTACCACAACTATTATCATCGCCACCATCATTCCCATCATCATCACCATCATCATCATCACCACCACCATCATCATCATCACCATCATTCCCACCACCATCATTCCCATCATCATCACCGCCACCACCATCACCATCATCATCATGACTACTAACTTATCGATGACAAATGCAAAACACTTTTCGGCGCTGTCAAACTGACCGATCAAACGGAAGCAGACGCCGAGAAGAAGATTCAACAGGCAGGCGTTGTCGAATTTCATAATGTTCGGCGCTACATAAATGAATGAGTGAATGAATGAATGAGTGAATGAAAGAATGAATGAATGAATGAATTAATGAATGAATGAGTGTGTGTGAGTTAATAAATGAATGACTGTGTGAATTATTAATAATAAATGAATGAGTGTGAATTAATAAACGAATGAATGAATGAATTAATTAATTAATGAATAAAGGGGTGCATTAATGAATAAATGAATGAATAAGTTATAGCTATTCGTTGTCACCATCATCATCATCGTCATACATAATATTATCATAATCATCACATCATCATCATCATCATCACATCATCATCATTACCATCATCATCACATCATCACCATCTTCACCATCATCAGAGTCACCACGTCACCACCACCATCACCCTCACCATCGTCCTCTGACGTCATCGTCAAATTTCTGAGAGCCTCCTCAATGACGCTGATGACGCTGACGATCAGCTCCTCCCTCTTGCCCATCACCTCGAAGCCATTCCACACGTACATCACTTCCTGTTTCCGTGGTGGTGGGTGGGTGGTGACGTCATCATGGACGACGACGATGATGATGATGATGGTGATGACGTCCATGATGATGATGACGATGACGTCCATAATGATGATGACGATGACGTCCATGATGATGATGATGATGATGACTATGCTGATAAAGACGTTGATTGTGACTATATTAATTAGTTATTTATCCATCCATCCGTCATTCAATCACTCCTTTATCAATCCATCCATCCATTTATGGGTGAATGGATTTATTCCTCCATTCATTCATTCACTCATTCATTCATTTATTCATTCATTCATTCACTCATTCATTCATCCATTCACCCAACAATTCACCAATTCACTCACGTATGCAGGCAGCATTAGAAATTCAGACTGCTCATAGTACATCTGGACCTTCATGACGGCCCACTTCTCCACTGGTACTGACTTTCCAGCTATCCTCTGCTTCAGACGCGGAACCTCGCTAGATGAATGAATGAATGAGTGAATGAATGAATAAGTGAATGAATGAGTGAATGAATGAATGAATGAATGAGTGAATAAATGAGTGAGTGAATGAATGAATGGATGAATGAATGAATGAGTGAACGAATAAGTGAATGAATAAGTGAATTAGCGAATGAACGATTGTGTAATCTGATGAATTAATCATACAAACAAGCACCAATGAACAAACGAATGAATGAATAAACCAATGAAACACTAAATCAATCAATCAATCAATCAACCAATCAATCAATCAATCAATCAATCAATCAATCAATCAATCAATCAATCAACAACTAACTTAAACATCGTGTTAATATGTTTCCTCATCTTTTCACTTCCCACGTCACCATCATCAGCAGTAGTAGCAGCAGCAGCAGCAGTAGTAGCAGAAGCCCGATCATTATCAGTACTGCCAGCACTCTTTTTCTTCTTCTTCACCATCATCGTCATCATCGTCGTCGTCTTCATCATCATCATCATCATGAAGGTCCCTTTGAGGTAGGCATACATGGATTTGCTCCACTTACTTTCTTCGAATAACTTCTCAGCATACTTCATCGCCAGCAACCAATTTCCAAGATAGCTGTTGGATGGATGAATGAATGAATGAATGATTGGATAAATAAATGAATGAATGAATGAATGATTGAATGAATTAATTAATGAATGAATAGATGGATGAATGAAAGATTGGATGGATGAATGGATAGATGGATTGATTGGCAAATCGATAGACTATTACAACAACAACAACACACGTTTAGACGACATTTTCCCCGAGATCGGGGGTTGCCGTTTGGCTACCTATGATGAAACCGAAATACCCCTCGACGCCATCCACATCTGTCACTAACCCTAACGCAACCCCGCTTTCACCCTGTCCTTCTCCACCTGCTCTCTCCATCCCAATCGCGGACGACCCCTTCCTACCACTCCTTCAACCTCGAACTCCAACGCTCGCCTAATCCCGACCCTTTCATCCCTTCTCAACACATGTCCATACCATCGCAATCTCGATCTCCTTATCAATGTCACAATGTCCTCATTCAGTCCCATCATCGACATCAGCTCTGTACTACTCCTCATATCCTTCACTTTAACCCCACACATCATCCTCACCATAACTCTTTCAGCCCTCTGCAGTACACTTTCCTCCTCTCTCTTCAACACCCAAGTTTCACCACCATATACCATCGCTGCTCTCACACATGCTTTATATACCCTCCCTTTCATCTTCACTGACGATTTCTTTCCACACAATACCCCACCCAGTTCCCTAAATTTCATCCATCCTACACGAACTCTAGCCGTAACTGCGCTCAAACATCCTCCATCCGCGTTCAGCTTATCCCCTAAGTAAACAAAGCTTTCCACTCTTTCAATACCACCACTCAACCCCGTCCTTGCGTCCGTCCTATTAATCACACCATGAACACATTTCTTACATTTGAACGTTCCTTCCACCTTTTTCAGTGCCCCCCTCACACCACTACATCTCTATAGATATAATCTATAGAGATGTAGTGATCTATAGATTTATTAATAGTCTATAATCGATAGACTATTAATAAACGAATAAACGATGCACTATTTCTTGATATGTTTTTTTTAAACAATTCATTTATTCATTAATTAATTTATTTATTCACTCATTCATGCAACATATAAGTATACAACAACAACAACAACACACGTTTAGACGACATTTTCCCCGAGATCGGGGGTTGCCGTTTGGCTACCTATTATGAAACCGAAATACCCCTCGACGCCATTCACATCTGTCACTCGCACTGAGGGCCATTGTCATTTCTGTCATCATAAGTAATTTATTTGGCTAATTTTTACGCAGGACGCCCTTCCTTACGCAACCACAGTTATAAGCGGTGGGCCTAGCCTTTGATGATCCAACATCACTCACAAGGCAGTGAGGGTCAGTTTAATGTCATAACCAGGACTATGTCATAACCAGGACATATAAGTATAATGTATATAAATGCAAGACACAGACAGATACAGACAGACAGACAAACAGACAGACAGACAAACAGACAGAAACTAACGAATGACACCACATGAGCTCCCAGCAGCAAAAATGATGGAGTTGCTTCCATTGGTCCTGCGAATCTATGCTCTCCTCAAACGTCATAATGGCCTGGATTATAATTAATTGGATCAGTTAATTGGGTCAGTTTAATTGGGTCAATCTAATTTGATCAGTTTAATTAAGGTCAGCACAGTTTCATTAATTGATCAGTTCAGCTTTATTGGGTCAAGGTAACACGATTAGTCTCATTCGATCAGTTTAAAGGTTTTATTTTTCACTTTTTTAGCAGTCCTACTTTCACTCACTCTATCAATATCGCCGGAAACCTCATAGATCCTGCCCCTAAGAAAATGGAAGATGGCGCTGTTGGGGCATTTGGCCTGCATGGTGTCCAATAGGCGTGAAGATAATTCCGTGTCCCCGTCTCCGAGGCCTGTGATTGGTCGGTTGTTTTCGGGCGATTGACTGTGATTGGCCGGGTGTTTGATTGTATGTAACTGGTTGATTAATTTTCAAGTGATTGTGTTTGGTCGGTTCTGACTAGAATATATGAATTTATTGATCAATAGTAGACAATTATGATTCAAACAAACAGACGAACAAACAAACGAACGAACGAACAAGCAAACAGAAACAAATGGATACGAACCAAATATGTAAGAGATAATAATATGATACTGTATCAAGAGAACTGAACAGATGGGGCTCCTCAACGTATCTGACAGCATCGCTCCGGTTTCTAATTCTCTTAAGCCCTTTTCCTAATAAATAAAAATAATGTAAATTTCATCTCTTTCGATGTAATACCAATGCGATATAAATGTCATCCATCTATCAATCATTTCATTCATTTATTCATTAGCTGGTTTACTCATTCGTTCATTCATTCATTCACTCATTCATTCCTTCATTCATTCATTCATTCGTTCACCTTGCTCCCTCTATAGCCAACGAACTCTAGAACTTTCAGAATGCGGGGAGGAAGAAGTGAGATCATCTAAAAAAGAATAACAATAATAAAAGTAATCATAATCATAATAATAATAATAATAATCATAATAACAATAATAATAATAATCATAACCAATGGGAAGAGATCACACCACAAATCATAACCGAAAACGAAAAAAGCTGTATGAAGCATGCGTGGGTTAACATTCAAACGCTTTCTCACACACAAATACAGACACACACACAGACAATCACAGACACTCACAATCATAGACACACACACACATACATACACAGACGTATACACACACACACACCAGATTAAAAGCACCGACTCCCATACATATTCCAGTCTTGAAGTCTTCCAATCCTTCATTTTCTTTCCACGACCTCTTCTTCATTATCTCTACTGATTCCCTGATGATGATGACGGTTTTGATGATGATGACGGTTTTGATGATGATGACGGATTTGATGATGATGACAGTTTTGATGATGATGGCGGTTTTGATGATGATGGCGATGACGATGATGAATCGAGGCATGTTTTAACTCTGAAAGCGCCCTATACAAGAATGACTAGACTCTCATCATCATCATCATCATCACCATCTTCATCATCATCATCACCACCATCATCATCATCACAACCGCCATCACCATGAGGACCGACTTGTAAGAATTTTTAACTTTTATGGTCTATACAAAAAATACAAAAGACTCCCATCATCATCATCGGCATCACAACCACCATCATCACCATCACAATCATCATCATCACCATCACAATCATCATCATCACCATCACAATCATCATCATCAGGACTAACTTGTAAGAATTTAGGCAGGTTTTAACTTTGAAAGCGCCTTTAATGAAACTTACAAAATTCTCATCCTGGATGAAAGTAAGAAAGGCCTGCTGAAGTAGCAGCTCAGCGTAGCATAGTTCTGCGTGTGCCTCTTCTGTTGTTTAAGATTTATTCATTCGTTCATTCATTCATTCACTCATTTATTCATTCATCTATTCATTCCTTCGTTCATTCATCTATTCATTCCTTCATTTATTCATTCATTCAGCTGTTGTAGCATTTCTGCATGGACCGCCTCTTATGTTTTGAGGTTTACGATCATTTATTCCTTCATTCATTCATTCATTCCTTCACTAATTAGTGCCTGCCATTCATTCACTAATTCAATGACCCCCTTCAATCATTTAACCAACCAGCCAGCCAACCAACCGACCGGGAGACATAGCATCGTAAACATGTCTAGACTTATGAATGCTATCGAGGAAACTTCCCTTGCGTCTGCTGGACTCGCAGACGTGTAAAGTCACTTTTATTGTCTTTAGAGCGTGCTCTATGTCCGCCTAAGTTGATTGATTGGTTGGTTGGTAGTTGTTTGACTGATTGATTGGTGGCTGATTGACTGATTGATTGGGTGGCTGATTGACTAAGTGATTGGTTGGCTGATTGGCTGAGTGATTAGTTGGTTGATTGGTTGGCAGTTTGATTGATTTGTTGGCTGAATAAATTAAGGTTTCATCTCGGTGTAAATCTTTTTCACTGCTATAATAGTTGACTGATTGATTGATTGATTAATTAATTAATGATTGATTGATTAATCGATTGATTGATGGTTGATTGTTTGGATGGTTGATTGATTAAGCAACCAAACGGACCAGCCAACCAACCAATCATCCAACTAGCCAACCAACCAGCCAACCAACCAGCCAACCAACCAGCCAACCAATCAACCAACCAATCAGCCAACCAACCAACCAACCGATTGAAAAGTCATGGCAGCCTGAAAAGTTGTCATAGCAGCTTTGCCCAGAGCATGGTACATACTTTTGTCTGCCCTGGTGGCGATGACGATGGTCATGATGTTGATGATAATGATGGCTGATGATAATAATGATAATGATGACGATATTGATAATGATGATCAACAACAACAACAACAACAACGATGACGAACAATTTTTCAAATAACTCTTGCGCTTCTTCAAACTGGTTATTAAGGAAGAGATGGAAGCCACGCTGAGTGTCTCTCAGATTCATTTCTAGTGGAGTCAATTTCGTCGTCGTCGCTGTTGTTGTTGTGGTGGTTGGAGATGACGTCATTTTTGTCGTCGTTGTTGTTGTTGGTTGTTTTGTCGTTGTTGTTGGTTGTTTTGTTGTTGCTGTTGTTGTCGTTCTAGTCGTCGTCATTTTACTATCATCTGTTTTTGATGTTGTTATCGGTGTTGTTGTTGTTGTTACTGTTGTCGGTGACGTCATTTTCGTTGTTGTGGCGCCGTTGAAAACGTCATCAGTCGCTGCTGCTGTTGTTGTTGCTGTTCCGCCGCTGCTGCTGATAATGATGATGATGAAATAAAATTTTTTCGTAAACTTTATTTGTCTTTACTAGCATCATCGTCGTCGTCACTACAAATACCATCATCACCATCATCATCATCATCACCATCATCATCATCATCACCGTCATCATCATCATCATCGTTATTGTTAATACTATCACTATTATAATTATTATTATTTGAAGCAAGCATACATAAAATAAAAGCTAAAAACAAATGTCTATGCAAGAATGAATGAATGAACGAATGAATGAATGAATGAATGAATGAACGAATGAATGAATAACGATAATAATAATAAACAATAACGATAATAATAATAATAATAAAAATAATAATAATCGGAATAGTACCCCGGATAAATTTGATTGAACTGTACTTTCAAGCATATTTCTAAATGTATTAAAACAGTCATTGGAGATGTTCTTTCATTGTAAGCGTGCGTGCGTGCGTGGGTGTGAGAGAGAGAGAGAGAGAGAGAGAAAGTGAGAGAGAGAGAAAGAGAGAGAGAGAGAAAAAGAGAGAGAAATTGTGTTCAAAATTTTGTCACTTCACTAAAACTTTATTTTAAAATTAGGATGCCAAAACTAAGAGTCAACAAATTTTGCACATTCTAAAGAGGAGTCTAGACATTTTCATTGAATTTTTAAAAATCTAATTTTGTCTTAATGAGAATCTTTGTTTTACAGATTCTCATAATGTTTTCTAAGATTGCGATAATGATCTCTGAGATGATGATAATGATCTCTGAGATGATGATAACGATCTTTGAGATGATGTGGTAATGATAGTGATCTCTATGAGATGATGATAACGATGTTAAAGATGATAATAATGATCCGAAATAAGGATGTGATGATAACAATCTTATTGGTTAAGTTAATAAATCAGGATAGAAAAAATATTTTTTACCCCATGTTTTATTCACATAGAATCACAAAAAAAAACATCAACAACAACATCCACATCAACAACAACAATATCAACAACAACAAAACGTCAACTAACTACAACAAAAACGTCATCAAGAACATCAACAACAACAGCATCAATAACAACAACAACATCAACATACTCAGATAATTCCTCCACCGCATCTGAAAAATCCTAAAGAAAAATTAAAAAAAAAACTAACTATCACCATTGTCGTCATCATCATCTTCATCGTCATCATCATCATCTTCATCGTCATCATCATCATCTTCATCGTCATCATCATCATCTTCATCGTCATCATCAGCTACAACAACATCTGCATAGTAACCAAATATCCCAAAAGCAAAACCCAAAGCATATTGACAATAACAATAATAATAACAATAATAAAAATACTACTACTATTACTACTGATGATGCTACTATTACTACTACCACAGCTGCTATTATAATTTATCACTACTATTACTACTAACCACTACCACTACTACCTCTACTATTACAATTAATACGACTGCTGCTGCTACTACTACTACTACTACTACTACTACTACTACTACTACTACTACTACTACTACTACTACTACTACTACTACTATTACTACTACTCAAGTAACATTACCTACTTGAAATTAAATATTGACTGAATTGAAGTTGAATAAAATAGTATTGATTAAAGTAAAAACATTTATTTTAAATTGTAGTCACACACACACACATATACACGCACACATACATACAAATATACAAAAACATACACACACACAGACAGAGACACACACACACACACACACACACACACACACACACACACACACACACACACACACATACTTACGCAAACCCACAAATACATGCCCAGCCAAAGCCAAACATACATATATATATATATATATATATATATATATATATACACACACACATACATACACGCACACACACATACACATACTTACACAAACCCACAAATACATGCCCAGCCAAGGCCAAACATACATAGACATCTTCCAGTTAACCATCGAGGTTATGGTTAGAGTTAGGACGCACATACATACACAGACACACACACAGACAAGCAGACATACTGACACATATTCACACATAAACACAATACTTAACTTATTTCAACTTAAGCTCAATTAATTGCTTATCAAATAAAAAAGTTTAATTTAAATCAATCTAACAATCAATCAGTCAACCAACATAAAAATAATTCAAATATAGTTCAACAAATCATTTTGTATACAGAAAATTGTAACATTTACTTTTAATTAAATTAAAAAATAATCAAATAGAAAACAATAAAATAATATTTATAAAATAACATTTATAACATAATATTTATAATTATAATCCAATGAAAAAATTATTAATTGACAACTGACATCATCTTCATCATCGTTGAGATTTTCATTTGCTGATAAAAATGTGTCATTGCTTGGCTTGAGAAGACCTGCCATATTTTTTTATCTTATAAAATTTCTCCTTTTTTCCAATTTTTTTTTTGAAAATTCACCTGTCAATTTTCATTTAATAACTTTAAAGTTTAATTAAATAGTAAATACATTAATTTTAAATTAATTAGGATTTTAAGTGCTTGATTAATATAATTTAATAATTAATTTAATGTGTATCCATCAATCAATCAAACTACTAATTAATTAAATTTTAATTAATTCTAATGTTAATCTTAATAATTTAATTTTAATATCATCAAATTATATAAGTATAATATTTAAAATATAATATAAAATACTTTTTAATTGCAAATAAATGAAAATTGCAATCAAATTAGTAAAAGTTAAATCCAATTATTTCGAATAAAGATTTAATTTTTTCATTATTCATGAGATGATGACTAAAAAATTTTTGAATCAATCATCTTCGCAATCAAATTTTAAGAATTTCTCGCGAAAAATAAATCAAAAACCGGATCGCCGTACAAATTATTACTTTAGCATCATTAATAAATTAAATATTTGTTGTGAAAATTAAATTTTTAATAAGAATAAGGAGAACTTTGATGAAGAAATGTGACAAAGTGCTTACTCCAAAATAAATGTTTTTTAAAATTACGTCCAAGATTATCAAAGGTAAATCAAGCCAATATTAAACAATTTAAACTTCAAATTTCAAAGTTCTATTAAATAAAAATTAATTTTTTATTATTTAAAATGTATATTTATAAATATAAATAAAAGTTTTTTTGTAAAAATTTAAAAATTTTAGCTACTCTAGCAACAAAAGTTAAGTGCGGCTGTTAGTTTGACCGCGTTTTACTGATTTAACTGTCGTTTTTATCTATCTCCATTTTATTTCGAAATCGGAAAAATCGCCGAAATTGTTCTTAAATGTAAGTATTTCAAGTTTTTTTTAAATTCATTTTGTTAAAAACTTTTCTGTCTACACGATTTTGTTAAATTAAAGAGTTGTTCTATGTTCTGTCTCGATCGATTTGATATCAAACGATCGTTATTTTATTAATCATCATGTTTTTGCCTGATCTTTGTTTTTGGACTTGATCTTCCCCGTTCGACTCCATTCGATTTTAAGCTTTCACTAATCGTGAAATCATTAATTTCACGTCGAATAGTTAATTTTCTACTAATTACAGCAAAAAAATTAAACTTTTTTCTACATTTTTCTTTCTCCCTAGCTGTCCATTAAACAAAATTAGTGTGATTAGGGAATTTTTACGTGATGAGGAGGCATGAACACAAATCGGCCAATGGCTGCTGCATATGTCGGTGTAAATCATCGACATCAAGGTTTGCCAAGAGTGCAGTGTGGGAGAAATACTTTGAGGAATGTTTCCTCTTGAAAGATAACGACAGGAAGGGCGACATATGCAACGCCTGTGTGCTGGTGGTGAAGAGGTTCTGCAAACAGAAGAAAAATAGAGTTTTTGATTACGTTAGGATTTAGTGTTTTTGGGTTTTTCGATTAAATTTTGATTATATTGTGACAAATATATTTAAAATATGATCGGTATATTACTATTTCTGATTGTAAACATTTATTTATTTTATTATATAAACAGTTGAAAAATAATCTTTCCTAAATAATTTTAACACATGGAAATCTAAAATTAGGTCGTAGATAGCAGATGTGGCCCGGGAAGCAAGAGCATGATCAAGATTAAGAAGCAAAGGGCTCTGCAACAACAACAGCAGCAGCAGCTTCTACAGCAACAACAACAACAAATACTCAACAGCAACTTCAGTAATAATACTCAGGACAGTAATGTTGTTATTAAAAATAGTAAAAGTAGTTCGATTAACAACCGCAACAATGCCGTCAACATCAACAGTAATAATACTACAAATATTGGTAGTAGTAGTGGCTATAGTAATGGTTATCTTAGCAATCTTACTAGCAGCAGCAGTAGTACGAGTAGTAGTGGTAGTTGTAGCAGCAGTAATAGCGGCTGTAGTAGTAGAAGTAGCAAAGGTAGTATGGGTTGTAGTAGTCGTTATGATAGAAAGATGAATGAATATTACACTAAAACCTGCAAATTTCCATACAAGCAAATCATTAACCTCAGACTACATGTTCGTATATGTCATATATTTCTGCTGTTGAATATTTCATTTTCAAACATTGTTTCATTTTTGGTTTATTAATTATTCATTTTAATTGCAATCTTATTACTATTTTTTGTATTGTTTTTTTTCTTTCTTGTTGTATTTTTTCAAGAGTTGTGTGTTTTTTTCCAGATCAAGAAGATAATCAGACGCAAGCAATGCAAAAAAAATATAGTCAGGCGAAGTTGTTAGTATCTTTGTTTTGTCAGGGACTCATTCAATTTTCAAGAGGATTTATTAATTTTTTCACATCAAACTTTCAATTTTTTAATGTTTTTCATTTAATTCTTTTTTGACAGATCGTTCATTCCGCGCCAGAATAAATAGCAAGAGCAAAAAAAACCACCGATCGATAAAATTCAACAAAAATTTCAACTACTCACGAGACAGTAAAAACAACCACAGCAGCTGTAGCAGCAGTTGTAGTAGCTGCAGAAAAGACGACCACAGCAGCAGCCAGGATAGCAGCGTGGCTGACGACAGCTGCTGCAACCTCGTGATTACAAATGATGAGGATTTGAATCTGTGGTGGAGATTGATCATGAGAGATGCGATCGTCGTTGCTCGAAACATTAACGACTTCAAAATGTCGGTTCCCCAAATGATTATGACTTTTATTTAAATTATTCTTTATCTCCGTTCTACAATTCTTTTGTTTCATAATTTTATTTGAAAGTGTTATTTTTATCTGTTGTAATTTTTTTTTGCTTAAATTTGTCCTATTGTCATATTTCTCTCTCTCTCTCTCTCTCTCTCTCTCTCTCTCTCTCTCTCTCTCTCTCTCTCTTTCTCTCTATTTTTCAATAACAATGATAATAATAATATTTATAACAATAAATATCCGACAAACCAGGTACAAGGTATGTTGCGGTGCTGTCATGTTCTCAGGTCGCACCGGTGAATTTCTTGTACTCCACGGCCAATACAGGCAGTGTGCTTTCCATCAGAAGTTATTTCGATCAAAATCAGCAGCAGCAGCAGTGGCTTCAACAACAGCAACAGCAGTGGCGACTACCTTGCAGCCATTATTCCGAGAAGTTTCCACATCACTGGCTCTGCTATCGTTATCAGTAGCCCCATCACCTTCACCACATTTATCATCGGCAGTAGCCGCACCTACGTCAAATGATTTTTTGACGCCGTCGTCGTCGTCGTCGTCGCCGTCACACGCCACCACCACCACTAACGATGATGGGGTGGTGGTGAATGAGGAGGATGATGATGAAGGGGAGGGTGATGATAACGAGAATGCATCATCTTGGATGGTCCGTGGTGGTTATCGGGCTTGGGTCAGTGCCCTACTCAAGATGCCTAGACTACCTCTGCCTCAATGTGTCTGAACATCTCGTCTGTCTGTCTGGCTGGCTGGCCATCTCAATATCTCTATATACATATGTCTAAACCAGTTAATTGATGATGATAATTTTTATTTGGTAGACATGATGATGACGATGGTGGTAGTGATGATGATGGTTTTTAAGATGATGTTTAATAATCTTTACCTCTGAAGTGAGTGTGAAGATTTGAAAACTTTGAAAATTAATTAAATTTTTTTTTATATAAATATCAAGATGATGATGACGACGATGATGATAGTAGTATTAGTAGTGATGATGATGTTGATAATAGTAATGATGACGACGATGATGATAGTAGTATTAGTAGTGATGATGATGTTGATAATAGTAATGATGACGACGATGATGATAGTAGTATTAGTAGTGATGATGATGTTGATAATAGTAATGATGGTGATGATGATGATGGGAAATCCCTCCTCCTCTTTGATTTCGTGTTTTTTTTGTACCTAACTTAACTAATAAACAACGGTTGGAGGAAGTTTAGGAAATTTGTGTCATTTTTAAACATTTCAGTTGAATCTCTCTTTAGGAAAATATATTTCAACCATGTACTCATCCACTAGTTCATTCGCTCATTCCTTCGTTTATTCCTTTCCTCGTTCCTTCTCTCAGTCATCCATTCATTCACTCATTCATTTTCAATCATTCATTCACTTATCCAATCCATTTGTTTGTTAACGCATTAATTTGTTTCATTCATTCGTTCGTTCGTTCGATCATTCTTTCCATCATAACTTAAATTGCTTCATTCAGTCGTTCTTATTTATTTATTTCAATTAATTTAAGTTTGTGTAACTTGCTTTATGTATGCAAGCTTGTGCCGTCTTATCTGCTGTTTATTCTTTTATTTAATCATTTCTCACGTTCGTTCATTCGTTTGTTCATTCATTCATTCGTTTCATTCATTCTTTCGTTCGTTCATTCATTCATTCAGGTCTTCATTGATCCATTAATTTTATTCATCCCTACAACTCGTTCATTCGTTAGTTCATCCATCCATTCATTTTATTTCATTTCATTCAGCTTGTTCACATCCATTAATTCATTACTTCATTCATTCATTCATTAATTCATTCCTTCTTTCATTTCGGCAAAATGCTTTTGCGGGTTTTTAATCAAAAAATAACTTTTTAATCTCTTAAAGATAATTAACCTAATTACTTGCACACACACACACACACACACACATATATATATATATATATATATTTCGAAAATACTTTTAAATTATGTTCTAAGCATATTATTATTATTATTATTATTATTAAGAAATGGCAGAGTTATGTATAATTATTGTTAATAACATATACGTTATTACTACTACTACTACTGCCGCTGCTAATACTACTACCGCTGCTACTACTACTACTACTACCGCTGCTACTACCACTACTACTACAATTACTGCTACTGTTACTACTTCCTGTTACTAGTGCTACTAATTTTATTGTTATTTTGGTATATATGGTGTTTTTGGTTCTTGCCATAACATATTACATTACATTACGTTATGTTACTTAGCTTCTTGGTTACTTTTATTGTCGTTATTGCTGTTTTTGTTGTTGTTGTCGTTGTTGTGAGCTTTGTTGTTAGCGAAGTTAATAGCAATAATAATAGTAATAACAATAAATTAGGCGTGATGGTCTAGTGGTTAAGATCGCCTGCTCTTCTTACTTACTGACCTGGTTCGAAAACATTGTGTGTGGATGCGTCGTTTCTTTGCTCGTTGTTAATTAGTCTGAACTCTGCAAGTTTTTGTTAATTGTTAAAAGTTACTGACCTTTAACCTTTTAACCCTTTTTGAATAGTACTGATTAGTAAGATGGATGGTAAGAGATGACCAATCTAACTAGGGTAAATTATAAAAATAATAATAAGATTAATCAACCTTCACTCATTCTATGTTCTGTTTTTCTTTAATTCATTCTTTTTCATTCATTCATTCATTCATTCGTTCATCTGATATATTCAAGTTTATATACGGAAATTATCTCCTTTTATTTTGATTCATTCAGTCTATCATACTAGTGCTATATATATATATATATATATATATATATATATATATATATATATATATATATATGTATATATATATATATATATATAGTATAGTCGTCGCCATTATTGTTGATATTTTCTCCATATTACTACTAGTGTATAAGTGTTTTATTATTATTATTATTTTTATTAGTGTTATTGTTATCGTCATCATCATCATCATCATTATATCTTATTCATCATCACCATCATCATAAACCTCGCTATAATTATCGTGTATATATATATGTATATATATATATATATATATATATATATATATATATATATAGTTGATTTTTAATAGTTCATGTTTTTCTGTATTAACTTTTATTTATTTATTTCAAATTCTATGTCCGATATTTTTCATCCATTGTTATCTCTGTATGTTAATGCACGTACGTATGAATTGGTAGTTTCGTTTCGTTTCGGTACATATAAATTTATGCATGTCTATGTTTCTTTTTTATTCACATGACACGATTATCTGAATTGCTATTGGATGACCCATTTATTAACATGGCTACGCCCTATATTTGCATATACATATATACATGTGTATAAATGTTTTTTGATAAGAACTTCAATAGGGTTTTATCATCATTCTATCAATGTTTCTTTTTCTATTACATCTAGATTTTATGCCAGGTGTTTAGTTTGGATTGTATTGTATGTATGTGTGTGTATGTATGTTTGTATATCTGTATGTTTGTTTGTTTGTTTGTATGTTTGTTTGTATGTATGTATGTTTGTTTTTTCTGCTATATCTATAGGTATACAGGTCTTTGCTTTAGTTAATGTATATGATTGTACTTTGATTAGTCTATATTTATAATTATATATATATATATATATATATATATATATATATATACGATTTGTGTTTTTACTTTATTCTATATAGGAAAAATATTAGTTTTTTTGATAAATTTGTTAACTTAATTTATGACACAACGTATGTAAAACAGACATTCTTGTAAGCATTGCGTCATTCATTCATTCATCCATCCATTCATTCTTTCATCCATTCATTCATAGGTGCATTTATTCATTTATTCTAAGTTTCTCTTTCTTCCTATCATTTTTTTATTTTTTTTTTCTCGGCTTCCTTATGGCCATCTTTCATTCATTCATTCATTCATTCATTCATTCATTCATTCATTCATTCATTCATTCATTCATTCATTCATTCATTCATTTGGTTATTGGGTTTTGCCATTTCTTTCTCTCTATCGGGATTGTTTTTTTCATCCTTTCATACTTTCTGTCGTTTATTTACTATCATTCTTTCATCTAGCATTCATTTATTCCTTCATTCATTCATTCGTTCGTTCGTTCATTCGTTCGTTCGTTCATTCGTTCGTTCATTTATTTATTCATTCGTTCGTTCGTTCGTTCGTTCATTTCATTCACTCCACCTATCGTATGTGTGTTACTTGTATTTACTGTTCTCTAATAATTCTTCGCATTTATTTATTATTATTATTGTTATTAATGTTGTTCTTATTATTATTGTTATTATTTATGTTATTATCATTGTTGTTGTTAGCGAGATTATGATTTGCAATAATACAGGGTCGTTAAGTGTATCTAATATGTCTTAGGTTAATGTAGTAGGTTGGTTGGTTGCATGAGTGTGGCTGGTTGGTTGATTTGTTGGTTGGTTGATTTGTTGGTTAGTCGGTTGTTTGTTTGTTTGTTGGCTGGCTGGCTGGCCGGTTGGTTGGCTGGTTGGTTGGATATTTCCTTCAATTGAATGTCTTAAAATTTGATTGATTCCATTGAATATTTATTAATAAATCGATTGATCAACTTATTATTCTTTTGATTAGTTGATTAATTGATAGACAGATTACCCATTTTTTAATTATTTTTTATTGATTGGTTGATTGATTGATCCATTTTTGATTTTAACCAAAAAAAATTTTATTCGCGTGTTTTAATTTTGATTTACTCTACTGACAATTTTTCGTTCATATCATTTTTAGGCTAATTTAATTGATTGACTGTATGAATGATTGAATAAATGAACGAACGAACGAACGAATGAATGATTGATTGGCTGATTATCTTTTACTTGATTGATGTCTCTTTAAATGTCTTATTATATTTTCTCAATTTTCTTCGTTTTTTTTTCGTTTTCTCAATAAAATTTATTTTCGAAAGTTTTTGTGTTTGTGTGTATATATATATATATATATATATATATATATATATATATATATATACGAACACACACAAATATATATATATATACATATATATATATAATTTATATATATATATATATATATATATATATATATATATAGAGCGAGAGAGAGAGAGAGAGATAATAAGATGTTCTATGCATTGTAAGTAAAGGTGGTTTTTTTTCTTATGGTTATTAAGCTGTCACTGTTGTTATTATTGTTATTGCTATTTTTATTAACTTAGACTGGCTTTGAAATTGCACGTATTTATTTAAATGATGCATATTAATTAGGGAATAATAATAATTGGTTGAAGTACTCAAATGCTTTCATGTAACTGTTTGTTAGGCGCTATTTAATTTTTAAATTTAATTAATTAAAAATTAAATAACATTAAATAACATTTAAATAATGACGACAACAATTAATTATAATTATTCTATGATCATAATTAATGATTTTACTTGATGTCCATCACTGTATTTCTTTCATTCATTCATTCAATCGTTCATTCATTCATTTATTCATCCATTAATGAACTCGTTCGTTCATTCATTCTTGTAATTGTCGAATATTCTTCTGTCCGATCTCTCTTCATTTGTTTCTGCTCTTTCTCATTCATTCATCCATTTGTTCATCACCCATCCATCCACTCATCATTCATACATCCATTCCATGTTTTTCATAAGTGTTGAAAAGATTTAGCTGTTTTGTATATGCTTAAATTATTTAAATATAATTGTTCGTATTATATTTATATTCGGAATTTATATTAATTAACTAACTGACTGATTGATAAAAGTTCGATGATTGATTGATCGATTAAATCTGGTTAATTGATTAGAGTTGGTTGATTGACTGATTGATTGAAGTTGGTTGATTGACTGATTAAAGATTGTTATTAATTGGTTGATTGGGTGTGATTGAATGTGATTAGTTGATTGATTGAGCGATTGAATGTGATTGGTTGATTGATCGATCGATTGAATGTGATTGGCTGATTGACTTCAGTCAATCGGCCAATCACATTCAGCCAATCAGTGATTGGTTGGTTGATTGATTGAAGTTAAATTACGTTACGTTACCTCGTTGGCTTTACATTTATAGAACCAATTACAACTTAAATATATTCTATTTATTTGCTATTATATTTTAAATATCGTTATTATTATTGCTATTATTATTATTATTATGATTATTATATTAATTTTAAAAGCGACCAACTTTTAATAGTGACAAATTCCTCTAAAGGAAGAAACACGAAATTTTTTATCAGTCATTATTGATTTAATTGGAGGAAAAATAACTTTCGCAAGATAATTAAATTTAATTGGAGTAGTAATTAACTGAATGTAGTTGAATTAGATGGAATGTATGGTTAGCATACAGACATACACAGACATGTAGAAACACACACACACACACCACACATACATACACACATACATCGCTACCTTTTACAATACAGAAAAGTAACATAGAAAAAATAAATCATATATATAGGAGCAAATTAATGGAGTTAAAAACTGAAGAATTCAAATATATTTAAACAAAATGCGCGCGCATACAAATATAACATACAAATATGTTAGAATCATAATAAATCATAACAATATAGTGATGCCAGAAAATTTAGAGTTGAAAATGGTTGAAAAAGAACATGAGGTTACCGACAAAATTGTTAGAAAAAAAAAAACACGAAGATTAGTAAGAAAATTGAAGGAAAATTAATTAGCTTTAATTAATTATTTAATTTAATTTAATTAATTTTTCGTAACTTCCTTTGATCTACTTGTTAAAACTTGTTAACAAAATACAAAACTAATGGAAAGCTTGAAGTAAAATTAACAAATTAATCGTTTTTCATGATGTCTTTGGCCTTTAAAATAGACTTTGCGTTGTGATGAGGATTAGTAGAGAAGCCAGACGTCGTCATATTCAAGTCAAATTTGACATGCTTGTTGCCATTATTACCCTGATGAATGAGTAACCTCTTATCATCCTTAACTACGTCAAACAAATCACTGTCTTCGTCATTTTCCTCATCACCATCTTCATCGTTGTTGGTGAGGTTAGTAAGGGAGACGACCTCCTCACCTAGTTTAACACCCACGTACCGGCGACCGTCTAGCCTCGAGATGACTTGCGCGATCTTCGCCATGATTATGAAGAGAATTAGTGAAAATATACTAATTGCCAAGAGCATGTATATCAAATAGATATCATTAACGAGCATGAGGTGGGCCCCAAGAATCGGTAAAACCATCTCCCCAATGGCAGACCCGACGACAAAAATAGAGGCGTACTTTCCGGTTAGCTTGATGTAATTTCCCACCCAGGATACACCGGCCGGAAAAATTGAAGACATCCCTAAACCCAGGCAAGCCGACCCAGCGTATAGTATTTCAGTGGCGTTTTGTAGTAACAAATAGTGAGAAACAGTAAGTAAGACTAACGGTATGAGAGTTAGGATTAGATTCCCGACTATCATAACCGACGGTTTGATGTAATTGGCTATGAATATCGATAGCAATCTTCCTAGTGAGAACGTCGACCAGAATAGGGATGTGACGAGAGCTGCGTTTTGTTGTGAGAATTTGAGAGTTCTTGTTGAGTAGGAGGCTACTAGACCGCCGTACGACACCTCCATCCCTACGTAGCAGAAGAAAAATGTCGACAACATGAAGAGTAATGTCAGTTCGATTTTCATCGAGACAGGTTTGTAGACGGTTGCATCATCTTCTGCGTGGTGGGTACTTTGTAAGGATTGTGATTTCGATGAAATGTATGGATATAAATAGAGGGAGAAAATGAATATGCCAACCAGAGTAAGATAAAATGATATTGTCCAATATGGGCATTTAATTGAGCACCAGCATGCAAATTCTTCAAATTTCGAAAATAATATTTTATTGTTGTTGTGAGTTGAGATGTTTAAATCTGGCGGGGATTTTTTAAGCATTGATATTGATGGTGATAGTGTAGATGTTGATGATAATAAAGATGGAGATGTCAATGATGATAATGATGAATTAGTGGAGGTTGTAGCAGATGATAGGAATGGTTTTGCTATCAGGGGGGCTATGAAGGCCCCGAAACCGAATGTGAAATGGATAGACTGTATGGCACTTGCACTTTTTGTACCCCAGACATTTATGCATACAACATTGCCACCTGCGGAAACAAAGATAATTTATTATAAATAGAAGACAGTGATAATTCGATAATGATAAACAAACACAAATTGGGTAAATTACTGAATCACTCATTCAAATGATCACAGGAAAATTAAGAATAACAAACAGAACAATGTATCAACATTCTGCTATGTTTTTAACCTGCATCCAGAAATCCCATTGAGACTCCCTGAAGGGAGATGAGGAAGGCAAGAGGAGCAAGATGTGTGCAACTGGGAATCAGGAATGAAGGAATGGCAGAGCAGAACATGGATAGAGCTAACAAGAGTAACTGATTGAAACAGTCAAAAAGAACTCCTCCAATTATTGACCCCACAATGTAGCCAAATGATCGACCTGTGAAAATTAATGTCGTCTTTGAGAGGGTCCCATTGATGTTGTCCGTTAAAACTTTTAGTGTTGGACCTGGTATTGATATGCAAGCCCCCTAATACAATACATTTTTAATATGTAATTAAATTTAAAAAAATTCTGTTTGAATTTCATGATCATAGATACATTATAATATTATAATTATAAAATTATAATTTGAAATAAGATATTATACTGACAACTGATTTAAAAAATCAACAAGGAACCAATCCACTAACCAATCCAAGAAAGCCTAAGCATAGGCCAACAGTGATTAAGATTTTTCGGCAGGTGTTGACTGGTGATCTTTCAATAATTATGCTGTCATCATTATTCACCTCAACCATCATTTATTTATTTGTAATTAGCAATTATTCAATTATAATATATATATATATATACACCAGAATTAAAATTGAAAATAGAATAATGTAGCAATGAAATATCTATTTAATAATAAAAAATTAAGATAAATTAACAAAAGCTAAGAACATATTGGGGATTCCCCACAATTCGTCACACGTGAGTTTTTACTTAGGATCAGCAATTTTAATAAATGGCTAAATGGCTTTTTAAGCACATTAAAAGAGTCGATAAGATAGAATCTGAGTGATTAAACTTTGATTTTTTGTTAATTTAAACTTTAATACGTTTGTATAAAACTAAAAAAATTTAGAATAGTTATGCTAAAAATGTGCAAAACTAATTGAAAGTACGTGGGAAAAAAATATTAAATGAAAAGTAAAAATATGCGTATTTAAATATTTTTTTGTAAAAAGTTCACTTTTAAATTTTCTGTCAATTTTAATTTAAAATCGCCCTCACTAACGTTCAAATCATTTTAAATTTTCGTGTCAAAAGTTTAAACCGGATTAATTTTTTTAGATAAAAAATTATGATTTGACATTTTTTTAGTCTGAAATTGTTTGCCATCAAATTTGCTTTTTTATGTTGATTGCTTTTCGTCGGCCGTTTTTAACAAAGTTATAAACTTTTTTTATAAAGAATTTAATTTTAATTTTTTCTTTTCTAATTTAAAGTTTATATATTAAAAGCATTATTTTAGTATGTATATTAATTATATATATAATATAATAAAAAATAAATAAGTAAAATAGTATTTGTTCATCTTTTGTATTTTTGTCACTTTTTCTCTTCTGTTAGTCTTCCTTGTTACTTTTTAAAAACTTATTTGCAAATTATTTTTTAAAATAATAAGTTAGTTGGTTAAAATTTATAATAATTATATATTTATTAATATTGGCTTAATTTATATTATACTAATAATTAACAGGCTAATTGTTTAATTTTTATCATAAATAAAGAAATGTTAAGATAAAATAATAATACATTTCATTTTTTAAACAAACTTTTATTTATTAAATTATTATTAAAAAATTTGGGAATTTTTAACCTTTACCGATTTCTCAGTGACCATGGAAAAACCCAATTTTAAGATCCTCAAATCCCCAACCCTTAAAAGAAAGCAGAAGATTGTTCCTCTTACCGAAAGGGTTTGCCAAGTTCACTTTTAAAATTTTTGAAAAAAAGTTATTTCAATTATTATTATCATAAAATAATTATTTTAATTATGGTTGTTATTCCTCTTTTTCTATTTTTTATTTAAAAGGCTAAAATGATACCAAAAATCATCATCCTAACTACCACCATATGTGCTATATCAACATTATCATTTTTGGATCATCACTATCATCTTTTTTATCATCATCATCTTTTTTTATCATCATCTTCTTCTTCATCATCGTCATTATTCTTCCTAATTAAAACACTTGGTTACTGCTCAAATTTCACTGTTTTAGCCTGTTTTACATTTTCATCATCATCATCATCACTTTCATCATCATCACTTTCATCATCGTCATCATCATCATCATCATCATCATCATATTCACTATTGTTATTATCATCATCATTATCATACCATTCTGGCCTTCTTCAACATTAACCATCATCAAATCTATCACCATATTACCTCCAGTGTAATCATCAGTTATTCAGTTTCATAGAAGAGTCTCTTTGTTATCCCATCACACTCACACACACACACTCACACACACGCACGCACGCACACACACACTTTTATGGTCACCTATTGACATTTATATATGTGCTATCTAGATACATGACAATGATGATGATGTGGTATAATATGGTGATGTATGTTTATTTATGAGTTTATTTTGTCACTTTATGGCTTGTTCCTCTTTCAAGTTTATTCTCTCAATGTTTATTTGTGTGTGTATGTATGTTTGTGTGTTTGTTTGTTTGTATGTGTGTGTGTGTTTGTGTGTGTGTGTTGTTTTGCTGAGTTTTGTTTGATTTAGTTGCTTTTAATTGAATGATACCATGGTTCTTGTTTTCATTTGGACACCACATTTAGGTAATAACATTTTATGCTCTGTGAAACCATTCTTTCATTCATTTGTTTCATTCATACGTTCATTCATTCAT